AACTGCCGCCGAATTAATTTTCTGAAAACAATTTCGCTCAATGCTCATATACTAGAATATTTCAAATTCAATAAGCTTAGAATAACTGCTGAAGTTTAGGGATCCGTAATTCATTTTTTTTTACTCACTCGATTATCCACTGATGGAAAAAAACAAACAGAAATTCCCCTATTCACTGCCTAATAAGAGAATGGGTATTAACAGCAACATCATTTTAGCCAATCGTCCGTGCGTGGGCGCAAGCCGGCACTTTCCTACCTGTTTCACATTTTCGCTGGCGAAGGGGTGTCGTTGCTTCGCCTCCAGTCATCGCGTTTCGTAGCAAGATGTCCGGGATTCCGGCTCCTTTTCTCGTCTTCCAGGCGTCTAGCGCTTCTTGCAGTTCCGGACCTCGCCACCGGAGCGAGCGAGTAGTGGCTCTTGTTACTTGCGAAAGCTCAAATAAGAGTATATATAAAAGATATAAAAGGACTTAACTAAAAAAATGAAAATAAAAACTGAAAATGAACAGAGAAATAACATACGATCAATAACGTGTAAATTTACAACCACGCATTTTTGCCTACGTTCTTATTAGTTCCAATTTATAATATAATCTTTGAGATATTTACCTCCTATTTTTTGGAGCTTTTCTTGAAGTTATGTAACACTTTATAGTAACACGTGCATGCGAATCTGGTTATTGCCGAGATCCGAACTATCTTTTCGTTTCACTCCTTCCCAACGGGGTTGTTTCCTAATTACATCTGCTTGGTGGCCCATCTACTACGTTGGTCAAACGAAATTCTCATTTTAATTTTTCTCTTTATTCCTTGTCGGCGCGGTGGTCAGTTAGTATTCCTAGTCGTCATGTATTCGGGACCCTACACATGTCACAGTATACGGGAAAGTAAAAGTAGGTTACATGTGCACTATTCGCACCTTCTCTATTTTATTCTAATCTCTTTATTTCATTTCTAAACACTGCTCGCCATTTTGCCATCCAATAATTTCTAATAATGATTTAAAGGTAAAATACATACATTGACACATGCTCGCACTTTTGTTGGCCATTCTCTCTCCTGAAAAATGTCACTACACTCTACAATGACGATCATGAGATCCCGCGAATGGATAACTTGCGTGTTTCTGGGAGTCTTCAGCTCCTTCACAGATAATTTGTTGCAGTGAACTATGGACAAAGCTGAATGTTCCTATATCTTTTCTTTGTTTTCTACACTTCATTGGTGTGAGTGGCCGCCCCTTCTGGCAAAAAGTCTTTCACTGATATCTTTACATGCCCGTTGTTTCTGAAGGTCCTAAAGAGTATACTTAACTGTGCTGCATTTCTATGTACAACCAATGAATCCCAATAGTCATTCCCCCTATTGCGTCTCCTTTTTAGTGGATTTAGTCCTTTCTTATGCACTCTATTTACTGCGTTAATCTGATCTTCCCTATAGGGATGCCTGCTTCTCCGTATTCCATTATGCGAGGAAACAAGGGAGTGTAAGCTTGTTTTGTATTACAAAAAGCTTTCCGTAATAAGAACACAAAAAAAAAGCTTTAAAAACCTTCTGTGCAGAATATGTAATGTCAACAGTCCATCTGAGGTAGATTCGATTTATTACGCTCATTAATATGAATACCTCCAGACTTTTTAAAATCTTGTATAGAGTGTAACGGAGTGCTTTTTGTTACACAGGTCTACAATATGAAACGTGTTATACTCATCAGAATCATGTGCCTATTTTTTCTACACCACTTTTTATTCAGATTTGCGCCATCACCCACCATTTTTCTACAATAGAGAATTCATTAATTGCACTAAAAATAAGCCTATTCCATTTCCTTATAAATTGTGTTAGGAAAACTTATTCATAAATGTGATGAATTCCCGCGTCTCTTATGAACTGCTACAGAATCTTCTCTGTATAACATCCTACAATAATCTGCCATCATAGAGTCATTCCAGAAACCTTGGTGACAACATCTTGACAACACCTGTCTCTCCAGCGAATAGAAACACCTATGTATACTATCTTACCTGTTTGGTGATATGCCAGACAAAGCAAAAGCTATTTTCATCCCCAGCAACAGAAGTTTGAAGAAACGGCTTTGACATTGGAAATTTGCACAGTCACCATATGAAAACCGTTTTATCTAAAAAAACTATTAATGTGAGAGAACTCTAAACACATGTTTGGAAACGAGCATAGTACTTAGTACACTCTATCACATATTTTATTTTTTAATTTTTTTCATTGATGGCTAGAGGTTTTTTATCTGTTGGCTAAGGCCTTATTTTGGAGGATTCGCATATTTGCAATATTAAAACCATTATCACAAAAATGATATGTGCTAGAGAAATTGTAATTACATATTTGGAATCAAAAAGTGATACATAGTAAATCACACACAATTTTATTTCAGATGCTTTTAATTGGTGGCCTATGTAATGAACATTGAATCATGTGACTAGTGTCTGAACTCTGGTAATATTAAATGACTTGTAACAGTTTATTACAAGTTATTTATACACTGGTGTTGCAACACCTAGAAGGAATGGTTGGAATCAATTAAAAATAAAATGGGTGGTTATTAAAAATAAAAATAAGTGGTTAAATTCGCGTTGAAACGGCGGCTGTTTCTTTCGATAAATCATTATAAATTCTAAACATGTTGAAGTCACGACGAAGGAAATCTGATTGATTGATGTTTCTGGGCACGTCCACTGCTTTGGTGATTAATTTCCTTTAGTGTAGAGAAATGTTAGCCCAGGAGGTGAAGGCGGTCATCTCCTGCTGGACGGTGAGATCCGGCATCAGCCTAATCTTGTGGGCTTCCCTTCTAAGCCACAGAGCAAAGATCCAAATAAATATACTGGGGTGGTAGTGCAGACATTGGCGGAGACAAAAGTACAGGAGGCTGAAAACCAGTGGTGCTACAACAGCATGTACTTTCTCGTATTATTTCTAAATTTGACATTTTCTAAAATCCAAAGAGTTCAACGAAAACAGATCTGCGCCATTATTCTAATATTACCTTGTTTAATACGTGGGAAAAATGTGAAGCGGGTTTTGAGAAAACGTGGTTTTTCATTTTTTCTTTCTTTACATTAATTTCAGACAGAAATTACAGGAAAACAAGTCACAAAAATCTTTATCATCAACTTTATAGGTTTTGTTAACTTTTAGCAATTTTTGAAAGTACAGACGTTGGAAATCAGATTAGTACCACATTTTTTACCATCCTTTGATACATATGAGGAGAAAATTAAAAAAAAAACTTTGGCGTTGGTTCTAAGAAAATAATGTCTTTTAAATGTCTAAAATAAAAGAAAATATGTCTTTTAAAGACATTTAAATTGCCCATTTTTTTGCACAAGATTATGCAAAAACTACTTATATTTTCGAAAAATTGTGCATTACCTTATTTCAAATTACAATTCATGTTTAAAGAACATATTTCATTCAAGAAAAAATCTTTACCTTCAATATTGTACTTGCAGAAAGACAGCGAAAAAAATGAACTCTTGTAATTTTTGAAAAGTCAGGGAATTCAGCGAAAATGAGGCCTGTATCATTCTCTTAAGCATTCTCCTTTACGCTCTCCCAAAACAACGTTAATCGAAAAAATTGGAGCCAATTTTTAAACATTTTGAAAATGCTGATGAGACTTTATGTAAAATAGCTCAGAAAATCAAAATATAAACGTTTCAAACTCAAGGGACCTCAAGTTCATTTAAATCGATCGGGGAATATCAATTTTGAAGAAAATTCAGCCGATTTTAGCCGCTAACATTGACCATAGATGGTCTGACAGACGTTTTGAAGTCAATCGATTTTTCGGTATCAAGTACCCTCAAAACATGGATTCTGACTACACATTGTGGTAAAGGATGTAATTTCATATATAAAGGCTTATCCTTTGTTTCGTTTTCAGAGCCCGGCATAAGAATTTTTCTGTCAAAAATTCGCCACTTTCCGGCCCACGATTACAATACGTCCTCTTGTTACCAGGTAAGTGCGAGAAAGTCAAAGGGTTTGATGAAAGTGTAGGTGGAGACAGAGACCCTCGTGGAGACATAGAAGCTGTATGGCGTGGCAGAGGAACAGGCCAGAGCGCAACGGGCCCAAGGTACAGGTGAAACCATACACAGACCGGCACAGACAAAGCCGAAGGCATAGGCACTCGCGGAGGCAAAGGTAGAGGAGAGCTTCTGGCCCCTTTATTGGGGTACTTATCTGAAATTCTTCTTGTACAGGTAGCGGTAACCTCGGAAAACCAACGATCAGCGCAGCCGGCCGCTAGAATTCTCCAGTCAAAGGCTGATTCGATCAACTACCTAACTAGGGTCCCAAAATCCGTGACTCATGGAATTCAAACCATAGGACCGGCTGGTAAGAGACACTGTAATGCCAATAGTTATTACACTGAGTCAACTCATCTGTTATCTCCTACGCGATAGTGGGATGATTTTCCAGAATTAAATACAAGTTCTTCTAAAATCAATGCTTTTCTTCAGATATATATTTTCACATTGATGTCATATACCTATATTTTGCGCATTGCTTAAGAGTTGTAATTATCATTTATTATTAACATTATCTACTGGACTTACCTACCATCATGTGATGTGTATGTGTGTAGTGTAGTTTATTTGTGTAAACGGGAAGTAGATAGGGCAAGGAAGAAGAAGGAATGAGTGGGCGCCGTACATGCCCGTTTGTTAAGGTATTTTTTCAGCATTCGCCTGGTTATTAATCGGAGAAACCAAGAAAACAACCAATCAGAGCACCGGACAGCTAGATCTCTCATGCAGACAGTGGCTAGTCGAAAATCCCCTACCGCCGGGACTCGAGCCGCTGCAGAGCCCGCGTCAATGCC